GTTTGAAAGAATGTCGTTCATGGATGGATTTTCTGGGTATAATCAAATCAAGATGCATCCGGATGATGAAAAGCATACAGCTTTCAGAACACCTCTTGGCGTCTTTTGTTATACCGTTATGCCTTTCGGTTTGAAGAACGCCGGTGCTACGTATCAACGGGCGATGACGAAGATCTTTCAAGAACACCTTAGGAAGACAGTCGAATGCTACGTTGATGACCTAGTCGTTAAGAGTCGTGATAAAAATGACCACATTAACGATCTAAAGACAATGTTCGAGCTTATGAGAACTCATCAGCTGAAAATGAACCCGACTAAATCCTTCCTGGGAATGTCGAGCGGCAAATTTCTTGGATTCGTCGTCACTACAAAAGGTATTCACATTGATCCCGACAAGGTGAAAGCGATACATGAGCTACAACCACCGAGGAATCTTAAAGAACTCAGGGGGTTGCAAGGTCGATTGGCATATATCCGTCGGTTCATATCGAATCTCTCCGGAAAATGTCAACCATTCTCTAAACTTGCGAAGAAAGGCGTGTCATTCGTTTGGGATGAAGCATGCCAAAGGGCATTCGAAGATATTAAGAAATATCTGGCGAATCCTCCTATTCTCGTTGCACCGAAGTCGGGCAGACCGTTTTTGATTTATGTCAAAGCGACAAGCCATTCGTTAAGTGCGTTACTTGCACAAGACGACGATAACGGTCACGAGCAAGCTGTGTATTATCTGAGTCGTACATTGGTAGGAGCTGAGTCTCGTTATCCGATGATTGAGAAGGAATGCCTCGCTTTGGTATTCGCGATTCAGAAAATGCGACATTATTTAGTCGGACAGACGATTTATGTCATTTCCAACATAAATCCCGTCCGAGTGTTCATGACCCAACCGGCTTCCATGAATTGGCGTTTGGCCAGATGGGCTTTACTCTTATCGCAATATGACTTGTACTTCAAACAGCAGAAATCTGTTAAAGGACGAGCTATTTGCGACCTTCTGGCAGAAAACCCTACGAAGGATGTAGTCGAATTGTACGACGACCTGCCAGATGAAACTCACGAAGTTAATACCACCTCACATCAACAAGTGTGGCAATTGTACTTCGATGGAGCTTCCCGATCAACCAACGTGGCAAGTGCACCCGGATGTTCTAAAATCTCCTCAGGAGTGGGGGTCGTTTTAGTTTCGCCGGAAAAGCACGTCTTGCCTAGGGCATATTCATTGACCGAACCATGCTCTAATAACGTGGCTGAATACAATGCATTAATAATCGGACTTAATTTCGCCAAAGAGCTGGGGGTCAAATACCTTGAAGCTTTTGGAGATTCTCAACTGGTAGTTAATCAAATACGAGGAGAGTATGAAGTCAGAAATCGAGACCTGATTCCATACCACCAGGTGGCCATTGAGATGACAAGCTCATTTAAAGAATTTTTCATCGAGTACGTTCCACGTCTCCAAAACGCATACGCAGACGCATTGGCAGCATTGTCAGTATCCTTGGCTCAACCTCCCGAAACAGAGCAATTAATTACAGTGAGGACTCATCAGCTTATTGTTCCAATCTACGATTCGAATGCTAAAGAGGTATACTCAACTGGAGTTGAACCCGAAGTTCGAGATTGGCGTTTTCCTATTATTGACTACGTCTTACATGGTATATTACCTGAAGATGTAAGAGAAAGGGAATCGATTCGGCGAAGAGCGCCGAGATTTTATTACAATGCCACATCGCAAACGTTGTATCGACGATCTTATGATGGTCTTTTACTCCGTTGTCTAGCTGGCGAGGAAGCAGAACAAGCACTCAAAGAGGCGCATGATGGGATATGCGGTGCACATCATCCCGGTCCTAAACTCTGTGATCGACTTAGGAGAATCGGGTATTACTGGCCAACTATGGTAAAAGACGCAGTCGAATGCGCCCGACGATGTGAGGTATGTCAATTACATGCAAATTATATGCACATACCCCCTGAGTATCTTCATCCTTCGGCGACATCGTGGCCATTCGAGACATGGGGAATGGACATTGTAGGTCCTATTTTTCCACCTTCGGTTAAAGGGGACCGTTCGATTACTTCTCGAAATGGGCAGAAGCAGTTCCACTCCGAGAGGTGAAGACGAGTGATGTGATCAAATTCATCAAACACCATATCATATATCGGTATGGTGTGCCAAGACGAATAGTGCACGACAACGGTCCTCAATTCGTGAGCAACGCATTTATCAAATTCTGCGGTAAATTCGGGATTAAGGACGTTTCGTCGACTGCTTATAATCCTACAGCTAACGGATTGGCCGAAGCTTTTAACAAGACTATCATCAAAATTCTGGTAAAATTGGTGAAAACCAATAAGCGAGATTGGGACGACAAACTCGGCGAAGCTCTCTGGGCTTATCATACGACCGTCCGCACGCCTACCGGAGCCACCCCATATGCTTTAACATATGGATGTGAAGCCGTCCTTCCCTTGGAAATACAGATTCCTTCTCTTCGTATCGCTCTCATAACGGGAATGACGACGGAAGAACATCATTAGAAACGTCTCGAGGAGTTAGAGATGTTGGATGAGAAACGCTTGGAAGCTCAACAACAAATCGAGTTTTATCAAGCTAGAATTTCTCGGGCTTTCGATAAAAAGGTCCGACGACGAAGTTTTAAAGAAGGAGATCTAATGCTCGCTGTTCGAAGGCCTATGATCCTCAACTCCAAAAAGAAAGGCAAATTTGAACTTAAATGGGAAGGACCGTTCGTGATAGAGACAGCCTATTCAAACGGTGCTTATCATCTGATTACTCAGGATGGCAACAAATTAATGATGCCAATAAATGGGAAGTTCCTGAAAAAGTATTATCCATAATACGTTCAGGATAACCTATGTAAAACGGGAAGTTCCTAGAGAATCCTGTATAGGATATTTCAGGATAACCCGATATCAGTTGATTATTCTAAATAAAGACTGATCATGTGAATAATCTATTCTTAATTGTTATAAAAATAATTAAGATCCTCATATTACTTTTGTTGAGATGAGATTTAATCACAATTAATCTTTCCTCACAAAACCCCTCACCGATCAAATCGATCGACAAAGGGTACACCAAAATCCGTCATGAATTAAAGTTATTTAAATTCCCACAACCCATTTGGTCAAACCTTTGAACAGTTAGGACCAAAGCCAAAATCCCCTCTCGATTCGTTCCATGAACGAGAGGTCCACAAATTGAGCGATCAAACCGAACTCATTGTTATTTACACCCTACTCCAATTCCTCAATTGGTCAAAACCTTTAAATAGTTAAGACCACAACCAAAATCCCCTCTCGATTCCTTCAATGAACGAGAGGCCCACAAATGGAACGATCAAACCTTCCTATGGTTAGAATCGTCTCAAAACTCCCACTCGGTCAAACCTTACTACAGTTAGGACCATAGCCAAAATCTCCTTTCAATTCATTTTTGCGAACGAAAGGTCCACTTTTGAATTGAGTAATCAAACCTTATGATAGTTAGGATTATTCAAACCAATCCAGATTCTCTAAGTGGAGATCCCACTTTGAGTTTCTTTACTCCAGGAGATAGAATATAAAATTCTTCCTCTCCGATTCCAGGTTTATCTCTACCAACAAACAAGAGACCAGGAGATAGAATATAAAATTCTTCCTCTCTAATTTTGGGTTTATCTCTACCAACAAACAAGAGACCAGGAGATAGAATATAAAATTCTTCCTCTCCGATTTCGGGTTCGTTGTCCTATATAGGAAACGCAACCTATTCACACTTTAAAATCCATGTCATTCATACATGGGGGATGTTATCTCTATCCCTTATTAGAGATAAGCCTACATCTAACACATGTAGCCTACATATTCAACATTGTAGTCTAAAGTCTAAAAGAGTTTAATTCTTTTAGCACAACGTTATATGTGAAACGGACCTAGATAATTCACATACTAGCCCGATTCAAACGGTAATCGGTAAAGGCATATCAAATCCGTTGATGGCTGAGGATTTGCCAAAAATCCTATAAGTATTATGGTTATTTATTCTAAAAGAAAAATGAGTAATCATAATAAAACCTCAATGAGCAAAAAAAAGATTCAATATAATGAGCAAAAAAAAAGTTCACTTTGTTGGCCAAAAACGTTCAAATGAAGCTACAAAAATATATGTTCTCCGATTACAAGAGTTTATATTGACTAATTTGATTTTCAAGTTTTGACAGCTCTAACGCATAAGTCTGTTCAAGCTCAGCCGTCAATTTAATTTTGAAAGCTTCTTCATCAACACTTTGAAGCGCGGCGACCTCTTGTTCCTTTTCAGCAATTATTTTATCTTGAAGGTTCAGTTGCTGTAACAGGTCTTCCTCAATATGAATTTCCTGCGTCAACTCAGACTCCAAGACATCATGAGCATCCTTGGCCATTACAAGTTCCTCATCTAAGCGAGCTATTTCCGCTCGACTCGATTCTAAATCCCGGCGTAGGTTGACCTTGGCTTGTGTTCTTTTGCCAACGTTCACCCTAAGCTGATGACTGTGGGCTCTTAACTTTTGGAGTTCAGAGTTGGCAGATTTTTGGGAATCACGCCACGCTTGCAGCCTGGGTTCCATGTGATAAGTGATGTAAAAAGGTATGCCTTTGGTGTGAAGAGTTTGCAGAAGTTCAATATGTTGTCTCAATTCAACCAAATAAGCGGTGACTGAATCGGCTAAGTCGTTATACCCTTCCTCTCTAAACCCTGATATAAAACGCCCAAAAGATTTTTTATAACTCTCAAAATACGATCTTTTGAAGAGAATGCGATCGACCATAGAGTTCAAAAAAGAGATGAAGCCTTGGAGATTAGAGCAGATAACAGACTTGTCCGGATCGTCATCAACCAATAACGCTTGGATTTGATTTGATAATGATGAAGGAACTGCGAGAAAGTCAAATAAGTCAGTATAGGATATATATATATATATATGAATACAAGACAACAAGCTAAAGCATACCAAGTTCGACGGAAGAACTTTCAGCATGACTTGATTCGCCCAAGGATGGTAGTCTGGATTCCTGAACAGTCAAGATTGGTTCAGGAATGGTAGCTGTTGATGCACCCGCTACGTCAGGGACTTTTTCAACTAAAGCCTCAGAAGACGGCGGGTCCAAACTAAGAGACTCCTTAAGAGGGGATTCTACAAACAAAAGAATTACAATAAGCGTAATGGAATGATAATCCGAACTTGAAACAAATTATGAGTAAAACTTGCCAGCTCTGGGTACAACATCGGCTGAGGGACCAACTTCCTTCTTCAGTTGGTCTCGCTTTTGTTGCAACCGGACTGATCTGGGGGGGTGACGGTAACTTCTATCATCATCGGATCCATAGGAGTAGCAGGCTGGAATTCAGGAATAGATGATTGGAGATTAACTTCAGTTCCTACCCACGGCACGAGGTCGCGACCCTCCGGTTGTTCAGACGTTTCAATATTTATAGTAGTATCAGTTCCATTAACTGGTCCTATAATTCAAACGCTTATATAATTAATCAAGGCAAAATATATACGTATGTATATACGGAGTTACAGAGCCAAAGTCTTACTCTCAGAAAGACCTGCTTCTGTTGAACCAATTCCAACATCTGAGCCGGTAGCTGGACCAGAAGCTTTCTCTAACAAAGAATCAAGGATTTGCTGATGATCGTCCTCTGAGATATTAAAGTCGAAATCATTAAAATCATCGACTTTGGTGGCATGAGTAGCTTCTCCTTCAATAGGCTCATGCATCGGGACGTCTACAGAACATGTTGAACCATAAATAACATGTAAATTTAGACGAAATTGCCCAAGACAAAGATCGATTTTACCTTCGTTGGTCGGGGCATTCGAGAGCTTCACTATTTGTACCTGCTTCTTTTAATTTGACTAAAAGGAGAGAAAACGCACAAGTCATTAGAGGAGGCACACGGTCCGACTCATTCATTTCTCGGATTTCTCTTCCGAGAGGAGAAAGATCAGTACCTGCGTCCGTAGCGGATGGATCAACGTCAGGAGTCGGTGGAACACCAGCTGGTTCTTCTTTCAAAGCATCCTGCATTTGTTGAACATAGCTGGTCTCCTCAGTTTCCATACCTCCGGGAGAAGCAGCATCAGCTGACAATTCTCCTTCTTCTCGACCCCCTACAGAAGTTGGGCGAGAAATAAATTTGAGCGTTAAGAAGTATAAAAGCGATAAAAAAAAACAAATAGTTACCTTGTTCATCAGAAGAAGCACTACGACCAGATGTCTCTTTTAGATCAGGGAGATGAACGCGTGGTTTAGAGGCAGCTTTCTTTTGTTTCTTCAGAGGACGTGCATCAGAACCTTCATGACGATGTTTGGTGCGTAACTCAGCTTGGGGAGAAGCTTGAGTTTGAGCTTGCGTGGAAGTTTGAGATCTTAGCCTACGAGCAAGAGGCACTGTATCCTCTTCATCCTCTTCATCGCAGCTGAGAACTTCTACCGTCATCCGATTAGGATATTCCATGACGACTCTCTCTTTCCGTTTTTTCAGAGCAGCTTGTGGTTGGGCCGGAGCGACAGAAGGCCTTACAAGTCCTCTATCAAAGAATGAATCGGGAAGGCCAGATACTTCCTCAGAACTCGATTCATTCTCACCCGCCCCCTCAGAAGTCTCTGTTTCTTCACTATCAAACTCTCCTTCACTGTCGGTTGCGAGGGCCGGTTCTTTCCCTTTTCTCGAGGATCCAGCAGCTTCTTTTCCTCGAGTCGACACCCTAGCCTCACGAGTCACCTCTGTTGCCTGTCGCGGAGCTGCCTCTTCCTCTGAGTCTGATGCTCTCTCACGTCGAGTGACGATATTAGCGGCAATCAACCACTTACAAAAGAGGAAGGTCATCCGTAGAGGCAGCGCCTCTAAAGGGAGATCGAACTCAACATTTGTGCAACCGGCGATACTCCAAAACCAAGCTCTCGCCCCATCAATAAGTCCACCTCGAAAGCTAAGGTGACGATTCGGGTTGCCGATATAAATTTGGTCATAGCCGAATTGACGGGCAAATCGACATGGAAGATAGGGCTCAATGTGGCAAACGTCCCTTACCCTGAACAACAGATAGCCAGGTCGGATATTCATCAGCCATCTGAAGCATCCGACATCTAGAACGGTACGATTCTGCCTCGGTTCTTCAGTATCCAATAAAGTTGTGTTGTAGGTACCGGAGAATCGAGGGAAGCAGGGGAAGAATTCCCAACACTTGTGAATTTTGAAGTGCCTTGTGATATCCGGCCATCGATGGTTGATCCACTTGCAGCCCTCAAGTGTCTGTAGAAGAGGAAGACTAGGATCTACCGTCTCAGGAGCCTCCATTAGATCTGGCCGGTGAAGAACCAACCATGTCATTAAATAAGTGTAGGGTAATTCTAGTTTCGGAACAGATATACTGGCAGAGGGTTTCTTTTTCTCTTGCGTGAATGCGGAAACTAACTGCCGTAACCCACTGTGAATAGCCGCCACCATAGCAGGAAGCAAGGATAATCTGCGACCTGTGGCTAACTGGACGGCTGGCATAGCAGGAAGCAAGGATAATCTACGACCTGTGGCTAACTGGACGGCTGGATACAACACTTCCATTGGCATAGCATCGGCTGACTGATGAGGAACTACACATCTCTTCAACCATATGACCAGAAAGCCAGCCAGCAGAGTAGTGGGGCGAATCGGAACACTAGCTTGAAACAAATAAGAGCGGAACTTAGTTCCATGCGAAAACCCATCTTCTGAATGAGAAGTGTAAGATTGTGCGTTTGTTTTCTCCAACAGTCGATTGATGTCACCCGGGCTCAAAGGAGATAATCCACGTACCTCTTCCGATCGATCCTCCAGGTTCTTGAACAGATAATCGGTGAATTGCTTTAAGCTGACCTGGGGAGATTTCTTCCTAGCTTTGGTTTCCATCTCAGCCATAGCTATATGATAATGACAAGTCAGCTCCCATAAAGTCTCGTGGGTCACAGATGACCGATCCTTCATCTTATTAAGCTGACTAGTGATTAGGAAGAACTCTTGATATGGAATATCGCCTATGGACAAGCCAGACACCTTCATCATTTCGTGCAATGGTAACCCGAGCTCCCCGTTCTTGGTGAAGAACGTATTAGTGTCAGGATTATAGATCTCGAACAGACGAAGAAAATGACCTACACTAATTTGCAGACCATGCATGCTGGCACGGATCGGGACTTCCAACCCTAGTTCTGCTAACTCTCGCCCCCAACGGTTCAACACATATCGAGTCATTCTGGTCCACCACCATTTATCCCCATAATAATGGACCCATCCATAACATCTGAAACTCTCGTGGGGTAATTTCTTCTTCATTGCAGCCAAACGATTCTTCACGGTGTTGGCCTGCGCTGTCTTTTCATTCTGAGGTATATTGTCTTGGCCTAAGACACCCGGATGAAGCCCTCGTATAGAAGCTCTTTCACTGGAACCTGGAGTAGCCTCTTTCCCGATGAAACCGCAATGAATACGTTCATGGTTTTCGGTTAATCTCCAGAACATTTCACGTCCAACCGATAAATTTCTAAATTTTAACAATGAATGCTCTCGAGGGATAAAAGGCAAGTAAAGGAATGACGAACCATCCTCGTGTAACCATTGTGCAGGCTTGCAGAAAGCAATCGCCGGATCCTTTATGGAGTCACCAAACAAGAAGTCTGGTTTTCTTATACATTGGTTCGAATCCTTCTCTGAAATTAAGGGTGCGTCCGTGATTAACCGTCACAGAATACGACAACTACCTTGTTGAATCAACTCTCGGTCCCCTTCACTGTAATCTGACTTAAACTGAGGAGCAGACTCGATTAACGGTAGCCCCTCATAATAAGAATGAGTGACACTACTCTGGCCCGTAACTGCATCGACGGTGAAGATTGTGGAAGGAAAATTGACTGATACAAGAGATACACATAAGCTGTGTAAGTATAGTCCTAAAATTTTAGAGAAAAGCGGTATATCTTATTCCATAAGATATAGTCGCTATCTCCACAGCAGGTGTGACGATTTTTCATCTACCACATGTATAAAGGAGATACGCGTTACTATGCACGGGCATTATAACGGCATACCAAAACCTTTCAATACACGTGGGATGATATGAAATCGCCCCTGTATATTATGAAGTGTGTTTTGTCAAAGCAAAACAAACACTTTTAAGCGTCGATCCCCTCAAAGGAGGATACCGGCTCTTCTCGAGGGTATCTCAAAGGATACAAACGAGGATCTGCATGCAAACACAAATATTGACGCATGAAATTGAAGAAATACAGTGTGTAAAATTGCGACAGGGTGGGAGAAATGTACCCCCATGCGAAGCGGCAACAGGGGCAGCCTCCTCAGGGCTCTAAACAGTCGGACGGCCTCGAGTCCCTCGAGCTCTACGCGGCGACATGATGGGTATGTGATCTACATTGAAACCCAAGAGGAGGTTAGGATTTTTGAACAAGAAATTAGAAAAAATATCACAAAATCTCGTTGAGACAGTGTATGCAAACTGGAAGTCAAAGAAGATCAAAATTTGAAAGAAAAGAGGCCTACAAACCTGTAGAAATCCGAATGGAATCTCCCCAAACGAAGCCCTACCCAAATCAGAAACGAAGAGAAGAAGAAGAGGTGAAGAACTGGTCGAAAATCACACTGAAATCGTCGGAGAATCGCCAGAAATCGCCCCAAAAGTCGACGTAAAAAACCCTAAAAAAAGCTCAAGTCCGACTTATATACTATCTGTCTCGCTGAGCGAGACAGCAAACTCTGTCTCGCTGAGCGAGACAGCAAACTCTGTCTCGCCGAGCGAGACAGCAAAATCTGTCTCGCTGTGCGAGACAGCATTCTCTGTCTCGCAGTACGAGGCAGCAAACACTGTATCGCACAAATGCAATACAGAGGGATACTCCAATGGGTACACGAGTCTAAACTGTATTCCCACCCTCAACAGGAAGTTTCTGGAGAATATTAATCTGAATATTCTTAAGGATAACCTGATGAGCTCTCAATGGATATATCAATTCAGTGATAAAAAAAAAAGCTGAAACCACAAGAGCAAGTACCACCTTCAATTCAAGATCTCGACAACGGTCAAGCGATAAACGCGACGCCTGGGAAACATTAGCTATTCTACAAAGAACTGAATAGACTAAAAGCAGAAGAGATCAAGCATTTAAGCTATTCTCAAGTCTTTTTATACGATCTACTCAACCAACCATTGAAGGGGTCGTAAATAAAATCTATCTTATCCAAAGTATCCCAGACTCTTCTATAAAAGAATGCGTCTGGAATACTTTGGAGGG